GCCTGCAGATACCCCGTAGGCCTGAGTTAAGAGGGAGGATTGTGGCAGGGACAATCATTTAGCCACTAAGGCTGATGCTAAGTGGGGTTGTACCTAAGGTTTATGGTGACAGAGACTTGTGCCATTCAGGAAGGAATCGTTTGACTCCAGCAGTGGCAATAATGAAGGAAAATACATCTATCCTAATGGGAGGCAGAACTCCTATCTGCTAGTAGAGTAGGTCTACTGTATCAAATTGCAAGCTCTGGCCAGGGGATAAAGCCCTTTGGCTTCTGTTTCATGCCAGATGTCAGCTCTAGGACTTTAATAAAAATGGGATTACTAAGCTGGGTGCTAGTGGCTCATACCTGTAACTGAGCCACTCAGGAGGCTGAGATCTGAGGATCAAAACCATTAGAGTCCAGACTCTTAATCTCCAGTTAACCATCAGAAAACTAGAAGTAAGCTGTGGCTCAAAGTGGTAGAGTGTTAACCTTTAGCAAAATTGCTCAAGGACAGTGCCCAGGCCCTGAGTTCAAACCTCATGGCTGACCCCCCCCCCCAAAAAAAAAAGATTACTTGCCAATGCTATTTCTATAATAACTGTAATTAGAAAAAACTACACTTTTGCCATTAAAATCATAGTTACATTATAATTCTTTTTATTTAAGACCTCATAAATAAGCAATAATAATTATGATTAAAATAATACTACATAGAAGAAATTTTTCTAGTGAGAGTACCATAAAAATATTATTTTCTTACTGATATAACTCAAATTCTAAAATGTTATTGGAGTTAAAAATTAGCTAAAAGTAAAGTTCTTGTTCAGTAGAACAATGAACATTTCTTTCTCTTCTTAAACATTCAATTTACTGTTTGTAAATTGGTGATTCCTGTACCCCTTATGTCTCTATGTACCATTAAAATAACAAAACAACAAACATTTTTTAATTTTTTTTTCACTTATTATTTCTTTTTTAATTTAACTTAATTTTATTTGTGAACATACTGTACAGAGGGGTTACAATTACATGGGCAGGATAATGTGTACATTTCTTACCAAGAATTGCAGCCTCCTCCTTTGGTTTACCCTTCACATCCCTTCCCAGCCTCCCTCTCCCCCCCAATCCCAATCCTTCTCCTTCCCCCCTCTTCCCCCCCCCCCCCCCCGCACCGACGTTGTAAAGCTCGTTTTGGACATGACAACTTGTACTTCTCATTGTTGCAACAGGTCCACCTGTATCATTAAACAACTGGTTTTTCCCCATCTCCTCCACAAGTTATACTGACATCAAATATAGTGAAAGCAGGGGTTATACTGTGGGGGAGGTACATACAAAGCAACAAAGAAATAATCTTATAAATGCGTTAGAAACACATGCATGAAAGGAAAAAAAACATTAAAACACATATCTAAGGGTTCATTTTCCTGACATCACATTATCTGACCTTTTCCGCTTGACTCATACCTATACTAGATATTGCAAATAAGGGAAACCATGGGACCTATGTTTCTTTGGGCCTGGCTTACTTCACTTAATATAATTTTTTCCAAGTTTTTCCATTTCCTAACAAATGGGGCAATGTCATTCTTTCTGATGGAGGCATAGAATTCCATTGTGTATATATACCACATTTTCTTGATCCATTCATCTACTGAGGGGCATCTGGGTTGGATCCATATCTTAGCTATGGTAAATAATGCTGCAATAAACATTGTTGTGCTGGTAGCTTTAGTGTGGTCTTGTTTGTAAACATTTGGGTAAATGCCCAAAAGTGGGATTGCTGGGTCATAGGGGAGTTCTATGTGAAGTCTTTTGAGGAACCTCCATACTGCTTTCCAAAGTGGTTGAACAAGTTTACATTCCCACCAACAATGAAGTAAGGTTCCTTTCTGTCCACATCCCCTCCAGCATCTGTTGTTGTTAGAGTTCTTGATTTTTGCCATTCTAACTGGGGTGAGGTGATATCTCAATGTTGTTTTGATTTGCATTTCTTTTATGGCTAGGGATGTTGAACATTTCTTCATGTGTCTATTGGCCATCCTTCTTTCTTCTTCAGAGAAGTTTCTCTTTAAGTCTTTCGCCCACTTATTTATTGGGCAGTTGTTTCTTAGAGGATTTGTTGTTGGGGGGTTTAATTTTTTGAGTTCCAAGTATATTTTAGATATGAGACCCTTGTCCGTTGTATGGCTAGTAAAGATCTTCTCCCAATCTGTGGGCTTTCTATTGATCTTGCTAGCTATGTCATTTGCCCTGCAGAAGCTCTGCAACCTTATGCAATCCCATTTGTCCAACCTTTCTTTGATTTGTTGTGTTTCCGGGTCTCTATTCAAAAAATTTCGGCCTGAGCCAAGGAAACCTAGGGTTTCTCCTATTCCATCCTGTAATGTTTTCAGAGTGTCTGCTTTGACTTCAAGGTCTTTGATCCATTTGGAGTTGATTCTGGTGCAGGGTGATATATAAGGATCTAGCTTTAGTTTCCTACATGTAGTTAACCAATTTTGCCAGCACCATTTACTGAAGAGGCTGTCTTTGTTCCATTCTATTGTTTTAGCTCCCTTATCGAAGATTAGATGGCTATAGGTCTGTAGGTTCATTTCTGGGTTTTCAATTCTATTCCATTGGTCCTGAGGTCTGTTCTTATGCCAATACCAAGCTGTTTTGATTACTATGGCTTTATAGTAGAGTTTGAAATTTGGTATTGATATTCCTCCAGCAGTGTTCTTTCTGTTGAGGAGCGTTTTTGCTATTCGCGGCTTTTATTTTTCCATATGAATTTTTGGATTGCCTCTTCTATTTCCTTGAAGAATGAGGTTGGAATTTTGATAGGTATTGCGTTGAATTTGTAGATAGCCTTGGGAAGTATTGCCATTTTCACGATGTTAATCTTTCCAATCCAGGAGCATGGGAGGCTTTGCCACTTTTTTAGTTCTGTGTTGATTTCCTTTTTCAAGATTTTAAAGTTTTCATCATAGAGGTCCTTCACTTCTTTAGTTAAGTTAATTCCGAGGTATTTTATTTTTTGTGGGGCTATTACAAATGGAGTTGCTTTCCTAATTTCAGCCACACTTTTCTCATTGTTGGCATACAGAAAAGCCATTGATTTTTGGGGGTTAATTTTATACCCTTCTACTTTGCCAAAGTTTTGAATCAGCTTGAGTAATTTGGGAGTGGAGTCTATGGGATTCTTTAAATACAAGATCATGTCATCTGCAAAGAGGGAGAGTTTTATTTCTTCTTTCCCTATTTGGATCCCCTTTATGTCTGCATCTTGTCTTATTGCTGTAGCTAGGCATTCTAATACTAGATTGAAGAGAAGTGGAGAGAGTGGGCATCCTTGTCTTGTTCCTGAGTTAAGAGGAAATGGCTTTAGTTTTTCACCATTGAGTATAATGCTGGCTGTAGGTTTGTCATATACAGCCTTTATTGTATTGAGGAATGTTCCATGGATTCCTAATTTTTCCAAAACCTTCATCATGAAGGGGTGTTGGATCTTGTCGAATGCTTTTTCTGCATCTATTGAGATAACCATGTGGTTCTTATTCTTGCTCCTGTTGATGTGATAAATAATATTAATTGATTTGCGTATATTGAACCAGCTTTGCATCCCTGAAATGAATCCTGTTTGAGCGTGGTGTATGATTTTTTGGATGAATTGTTGAAGTCGATTGGCCAAAATTTTGTTGAGAAGCTTTGCATCAATATTCATCAAAGAAATGAGTCTATATTTCTCTTTCTTTGATGAGTCCCTGCCTGGTTTTGGGATGAGGGTTATGATGGCTTCATAGAATGTGTTCGGTAGTGAGCTTTCTCTTTCAATTTCATTGAAGAGAACAACAAACATTTAAAATAGAGTATAAACCTCTAGCACTACTAAAAGTAAACAGGGTCAGTTTATGTATAAAAACATGTATATGCACACATATATAAAATTATATGTATATTTGTTTGCTTAAACACAAACATAAGTAAGCCAATGTTCTGTTCTGTTCAGAAGTACATAAAATATAAAATGACCTTAGTTCTTTTTTTATTGTGAAAATATTGTACAAAGGGGTTACAATTACATGGGCAAGATAATGAGTACATTTCTTATCAAGCATTGTAGCCTCCTCCTTTGTTTCCCCCTCCCATCCTCCCCCCCCCGCCTCCTCCCTCAATCTTCCCCACCCCCCACCAAAGTTGTAAAGTTCGTTTTTGACATAACGACTTGTACATCTCATTGTTGCAATGGGTCCACCTGTATCCCTATTGAAACGATTTGCTTTTTCTCTTCCCCTCCACAAATTATACAGACATCAAATACAGTGAAAGCAGGGGTTATACTGTGGGGGAGGGACATACAAAGCAACAAAGAAATCATCTTATAAATATGTTAGAAACAATCCCATGAAAGAAAAAAAACATTTGAATACATATCTTAGGGTTCAAAATGACCTTAGTTCTATCTTCAATTATTTTTTTTAGTATATATTTTTTATTGTGAAGATACTGTACAGAGGGGTTACAGTTAAATGAATAAGGTAATGAGAAAATTTCCTATTGAGCATTGTTACTTCCTATCTTCAATTATATGAGATAAATTGAATAAAATCATGATTAAATTGAATTAAATAATTAAACAATTGAATAAAATAATGATGTACATGAACTCATAAAAAGACTTTCATGTAAGTATAGGAAATAAATACAAAATAGTGTAAACTGTTGTATTTCTGAGGAGATAAAAGTATGAAGAGAGAGAAAGACTAGAAGAGGATTACTGGATTCAAGTTAAAATTGTCTGCCCATGTCAGATATAAAATCATATTCAGATTAAGTTTTTGAGGCAAGCACCTTTCTCACAATGTCCTTTAATGCTTGTTTCACTTGCTGGTTTCTCAAAGTGTAAATAAATGGGTTCAACATAGGTGCCACTGAGGTATTAAGCATGGCTACCCCTTTTGTCAAAGACACTCCTTCTTTGGGAGATGTTTTCACGTACATGAAGATGCAGCTTCCATAGGAGATGGAAACAACAATCATGTGTGAGGAACAGGTTGAAAAGGCCTTTTTCCTTTGTTGAGCTGAGGGGATTTTCAGAATTGTTCTGAGGATGTAAGCGTAGGACAGAAGGATTAGTGTCAGGGTGGTCATCAGAGTGAACAAAGCTAAAACAAAGCTCATGAGCTCTAACGTGCTTGTGTCTGTGCAAGAGATTTGCAGCAAAGGAGCAGAGTCACAGGTAAAATGGTCGATGACATTGGAGTCACAAAAGTCTAGCTTCAAGCCCATGGCTAGGGGTGGAAAAATGACCAAGAAACCAGCCAGCCACGAGCTGATGATGAGCTGGTAACAAATCTTGTTTCTCATGATAATTGTATAATGCAGGGGCTTACAGATAGCCACATAACGATCATAAGACATAGAGGCCAGGAGAAAAAACTCTGTCGAGCCAAGGAAGATAAAGAAAAATAGCTGAGCAACACAAGCATTATAGGAGATAGACTTGTCCCCAGTTAAAATGCTGATCAGAAACCTAGGGTTGCAGACAGAAGTAAATGAAATTTCCAAGAAGGAGAAATTCCTGAGAAAGAAATACATGGGGGTCTTCAGGTGGGAATCCAGCAGGGTAAGGGCAATGATGGTTAGATTTCCGGTGACGCTCAGTATGTACATGAGGAATAGAAAGAAGAAAATCACAACCTGAAGCTCTGGATCATCTGTCAGACCCAGGAGGATGAAGTCAGTCACTGACCTGTTTCTCATCGCTGATGGCTTGTTTATGGTAGATCTTGCTGATAAAGGAGAGCCAGAGGAAAATAAAGTGTGAGTCAGAAGAAAAGAATAAATACCCCTATATTTTTCAAGTACCATTGTATTTTGGCATCTATTTTGACATGATATACTTGGGGCTTGTGTTTTGGTGTGTGCATGTCCTTTGATTTATACTTTTTGAGACACATGTATTATGGTAATTCTAGTATCTGTTATGTTTTTGTTCTACCTCTGACTATTCTACTTATTACTGGGAAATGAAGTAATTGAACATAAATTCCTTTAATGCTTCATTATTTAACTAAAATATTTGGGAAAATTAGGTTTTTATTATGTCATCTTTTCTGCCACTAAACTTACTAACTTATAAGAATCAATGAGAAAAAACTTCTCAATGTCCTTCTTGAGAAAGGAATAGTTTTTCTCCTGTCTCTTTGCTTGATAAAAGATCAGTCAATAGGTCACTCAAATCTTGCATTTTAACTATTTTAAAAATTGCATATATGTATGGGTGTCTGTGGTTCACAACAGTACTGCTAACGACTCAAGAGGCTGAGATCTAAGAATTGCATGTGAAGTTAGCTCAGGAAGGGAAAGTATGTGAGATTCTTATCTTCAGGAACTAGAAAATTGCTGGAAGTGGAGCTATGGCTCATAGGGTAGAGTGCCAGCCTTGCGTGAAACAGCTCAGGCAGCATCTAGGCCCTCAGTTTAAGCCTGAGTACCAACACACATACATATTGTATTCCATTTTATCTTAACCTACTATAATTTTATTTCCATATATTTTTGGAGACATTGATCCCTCTATCTTCATCTTTGATTTTTAAAAAAGTCTTTACAGTAAAATTTAATTAATGTCTCTGAAGTTTAGTTGATCATTAACAAAATTGATAAAAGTACTTTAAAACTCTAGGTAGACATCAGACAGCATTTTCAGAAAATACTGCAATTCACTAATGCTTCAGATGTGACATAGGTAGCTTTGAAATATACAAGTATTTCTTTTGTTATTTAGAAATATTTTAGAAATGCATGCAAGCAACATGCAACATCTATTTATAAATTATAGGTGTACAAATATTAAGGAAAGTATCCCATGTTTCAAATATTTCAGTTGTTAGAAATAGTTATTTAAAATATTTCCACATTTCCATTTATTGTGCTAATTACTCCCTCTCCTCATAGATGTAAGAAACACACACAGAGATAAAGTGAAGGGCACCAGACAAGAGTAAACAGAAGAGAAAGATTTTGTGATATTACCTTGAAAATACCTATCTATTTTCAAAATATTCAAAATATTGAATATAGAACTTAGAATCATATGTTCACTCAAATTAAAAGTGTGTGGTAGGTACATGGAAAAATGTGTTTTTTTCCTCCTCTTCCACGAAACTGTAAATTTCCTACCAAAACCCTTAAATATTTCATCTCAAAACACCCCATAACATATTTTCTTCATGTTTTCCCCTAACTTGGTTCAACATCAGCAATCTGACATACTCTACTTACCATAATAACATTGTATCTTTAGTTGAAAGTTTTGCTGCTATTTTTACAATTATTTGTATTCTTGAGATGATATTTTCCAGAGACCTGTTTATATTAATTTCCTCTGGGAGAAAAGTAAACATAACCCTGTTTTCTTTTTGTGCTACTGGTAATTTCAGAAATATTTTTTCATGACAAATTCGTAATGACTTTTGGGATAAGTAATAATAGGGCACTGGAGAATCATTCTACAATTCACTAGTGAATTGTAGAAAATTAATTTCCACAACCATATTTTCATTGGTTAATAATATGACTTGCATCCCAGGAGAAATCTGAAATTTATCCAGCAAATGTATTTGAGGAGGGTTGAGGTCTTTGATTTTCATTTTCATAAGGTACATATATTATCCTTAAGATAAAAGGCAAAATCAGTTTAGAATATGAAAGTCAAAATAAGACAGAGGTCTGCTGAAGAAAAAGATTCTAATAAACTCATGAAACACATAAGCAGTGCAATGCCTTAGAAAGGCTAACTCACAGTCCAACAAGATAAACACCAGAAATTGGATACTCAGAAGGGGGGGGGGAGGATTGGGAGCAAGGGGAGAAGGAGAAGACAAATAAAGAGAGGAATGGAGGAAAATATAGTCATAAAATTCACTGCATATTCTACAAAATTAAGAAAATCAAGGGAAGTGGTAGGGTTGACACAAATAAGAGAGAATAATGAAAGGGGTGAAATAGGTCAAGATTCTTTGTTGAATAGAACTCCTTTGTACAAGTACTTCAAGATAAAAATAAAAGTAAAAAATCACCCATGAAACAATGTTGAAATCAGTGTAAATGTCTGAGATACACTTTCACAGTGGAAGTGCCTTTGCTTTCATTAGTGTATCCTCATTCAAGCTTCAAGTAAACTTCACCTTTACATTTCTTAGGGTTTCCAAGCAGATCAACATGAGCTTTGTGTGACTCTCATACATAGAGCTAAGAATGAATGGGAGAGAAATTATATTTGAAGACATAGGGGCTGAAAACATGGTACTTTAGTTCAAGATAAAACTTCAGAGATAAACTCCAAGCAGAACTCAGAGAGGATCTCAGGAGACAAATGACAAACACATAAAATTCGGAAAGTTAAAGCCAAAAAGAGACTCTTGAAAGTGGCAGAGAGAGGAGTTTCAAAGAATCCTCAAAAAAACGATCACCTAATTTCTCACTAGAACCCAAAGCTTCAGTAGGTTCTCTCCCACCACCCCCAAATCTCGCCCACACTTGCTATTTCTTCTTTCATTCTAGGTGATATGAAGAGATAACCACTGTGCTTTTAAATTGAGTTTCCATGATGATGTTGATGATATTGAGAAATATCCTATATGTTTTTGGACATTTGTATGTCTTGTTTTGAAAAATGTCTCTACAGTCCTTTGCCTATTTAAAAGGTGATTCATTTTCTATTGAATTGCAAGAGTTTCTCACACACACACACACACACACACACACACACACACACACATTAGATGTTAACTCGTGCATTTTTCTCATGTTCTGTACATTATCTTTCCATTCTGTTGATTAATTTGTTAACTGTGCAGAAACTTTTCAGTTTACATGGTCCCATTTATGTATTAATTTATTTATTTATCTATCTACCTATCTATGTATTTATTGTGCTGGTCCTGAGGCTTGAACTCAGGGCCTGGGAGCTGTCCCTGAGCTCTTGAGCCAAAAATCCACTTCTGGCTTTTTGGTGATTATTTGGAAATAAGAGTCTCATGGATTGTTCCGCTGCTCAGGCTGGCTTCTAATTGTGATCTTCAGATTTCAATCTCTTTCTTGAGTAGCTACGATTACAGGCATGAGCTTCTAATGCCTGACTATTTTTGTTTTCATAACCTGTTTTTTTGGTATTAAAAACATCGTTCTCAAGATTGATGTGAAGGATATTATTTTCCATGTGCTTTCTTAAAAGACTTTCAGGTCTTAAGTTTAAGTCTTTAATCTATTTCATATCTCTTTTACCTACTGAGATCCAGTTCCCCAAACACCATTTGTTTTTTTTTTTTTAAATTTTATTTTATTTTATTTGAGAACATACTGTACAGAGGGGTTACAATTACATGGTCAGGACAATGCATACATTTCTTACCAAGCATTGCAGCCTCCTCCTTTGTTTACCCTTCACCTCCCTTCCCAGCCTCCCCCCTCCCCCCCACCCAATCATACCCCCCCTCCCCCCCCTCCGACATTGTAAAGCTGGTTTTGACATGACATTTTGTACTTCTCATTGTTGCAACAGGTCCACCTGAATCCTTAAACGACTTGTTTGTCCCCATCTCCTCCACATGTTATACTGACATCAAATATAGTGAAAGCAGGGGTTACACTGTGGGGGAGGGACATACAAAGCAACCAAGAAATAATCTTATAAATGCATTAGAAACACATGCATGAAAGAAACAAAAACATTAAAATACATATTTGAGGGTTCGTTTTCCTAACATCACATTATCTGACTTTTTCCGCTTGACTCATACCTATACTAGATATTGCAAATAAGGGAAACCATGGGACCTATGTTTCTTTGGGCCTGGCTTACTTCACTTAATATAATTTTTTCCAAGCCTTTCCATTTCCTAACAAATGGGGCAATGTCATTCTTTCTGATGGAGGCATAGAATTCCATTGCCAAACACCATTTGTTGAAGAGACTTTGCTGTCCCCATGATAAGGCCAACATGTGATGGCCTTATCCAAGTTTAGTTGACTGTATCTGTTAGTTGATCATATATAGTAGTGATTTCTTGTAAGCAATTATATTACTTTGCTGGGGAGGATCATCCTCTCCAAATGCTCCAGCATCTCCCAGCTCTTCTCCCAGCTCTTCTTTCTTGGATAAGTAGGAGGAGTATGATACGAAAAGATGAGGGACACATATTTCTGATGGAGTAGAGTTGTTAAAATAGTAACCCTGATAACTTGAAATAGTTTTCACAGAAGATATTTATTTAATTATTATGCTTTGAGTTTTGGGGCTCATTCATATGTCAATATATATTCTATATACATATATAAAATAAGGGTCCTGTGTTTGAACTTAGTGCCTGGGCCCTGTCCTTTTTGCTCAAGGCTAGTGCTTTACCTTTATGAGTTTTACCTTTATTACTGGATTTTTGTGTGGTTAATTAGAGATAAGAGTTTCATGGACTTCTCTGTCCAGGCTGGCTTTGCACCACAACCCTTAGATCTCAACCCTCTGAATAGCTAAAATTACAGGTGTAAGCCATTGGCAGCCAGCATGGTCTGCACACTTTGTTTATCTAGTCATTGTTTTACAACTTGATCCATGCCTCCAATGTTTTGCTGGTTAATTGGAGATAATAGTCTCTTAGATTTGTCTTCCTGGCTGAATTTTTTTTTGTCGGTCATGGGGCTTGAACTCTGGGCCTGGGCACTGTCCCTCAGCTCTTCAGCTCAAGGCGAGAGCTCTACCA